TTACTAGTGACAGTGTGAGGCATCTTGTTTTATTGCTCGTGAGGTTTGTAAATGAGATACTCATGTATCGTCCTGCGACTTACCCTGGTATCTTCTTTTCACTGATTTTCTTTTAAAAAGAGATACAGAGAACCAGCCTGGCCCTTTCCCTTCAAGTACTTTTATATAATGATCACTTCTCCCATTCTTGTTCCCGTCACTTAGAAAATGATTGTTATTGTCTATGTTCTCCATCCTACTTTTGTCCTGTTTGGCACACATGTTGGCAGCAGCGATCTCTTGGTGTTAGATATTCTTTAGTAGCTCTAGAGATGCCATCAAGGGACTTAAGTCACTATGATCTGAGTACCAAACCTGGTCATCTATTTCAGAGCTAGTGCAGGCTTGAATTTAACATTGACAGAGTTGCTTGTATGTCTGGTCCTACAGGACCCCTCCATCCCACGTCAGAGCCCTTACGGATGAAAGGAGAGCAGAGCATGAGGGAGGGAACACCTCTCCGGGTGTTTTTTTGCCTCGCATTCCCTGTGACTGTCAGTGAGGAGAGCCAGGCATTTTCCACACATTGCCTTTCGCCTTTGTGGAAATTTGGGGATTTTATGGTTTTCCCCACAAAACCAGGCAGAGTCAAAATCTAGAGCAGGAAGAGGAACTTGAAAGTGTGCTCAGGGACATGGCTCACTCAGCAGAGAGCTTGACCCTCAGGCATGAAGCCACCTAGGTTCAGTCTTCAGCACCGTGTAAAGTGGGCTTTATGGCGCATGCCCATAAATAATTTCAGTACTCAGCAGGCAGAGGAATTGGAAGGGAGGGTGAACGTCTTCTTTGGTTGTGTAGAAAGTTTGAGCCCAGCCGGGGCTTCATGAGAACCTGTCTTAAATAAATACATGGATGGAGTAACATAAAAGAAAATTCTTGTAGCTCTTTAGATTCCTAATGGCCATAAATATTTTTAGTCAAGTTCCCTGCAGTATAGGTTTCCAGGGTTTCTCTTTCACCATGGTCAGGTAGCAAGCAGGCATTTGTGTGTGTGTGTGTGTGTGTGTGTGTGTGTGTGTGTGTGTGTGTGTGTGTGGTGGTGGGAGTTTGCAGGGGGAAGGGGCGGAGTGTCCAGGCTTGAGTTGCAGCTGAGATCCTAGAACTCAGGGAGCTAAGGCAAGAGGATTGCAGGTTTTTCTGGACTGTGTAACAACTATAAGGTAAGCAAGCCTAGGTTACGTATCATCAGGACCCAGCTCCCTGTGTGAAGGTGAGGGCGAGCCCTGTCTTTAGTAAGCTGGTTTACATGGAAGGAGCAGCCTAAACCTTCTTCACTGTTACAGCTTCAAGTTCTGCATACGGAATTTTAATGTCTCCCGTTTTTAGGAGTTGTTCAAAATGAGCTCTTAATTTGCTCATCGGTTGGTTAAGCTGGTGGGTTGTTTTGGTTTGGTTGGTTTTTGTTGTTGTTGTTTTCCCCGTGTTTGTAGGCTCCCTGGCGTCAGCTCTTCAGTTGAAACTGTAGACAGCAAAGGAGGACTGTTCCTCCACATGTTTCTGCCAGAAACACATCCCCTCTCCTGTGGTGTGGACAGTCATGGGCCCTCCCTGACTTTTGGCATCTGTTGTTTGTTTTGCCAGACAAGCTGGTCTTCGTGTTCTGGGTGCTCTGTAAGAGGTTGGGCTGGCTGTGGCTGCTTTTGGTATGGAAGTCTTTGGGTCCTAAAAGACCTGAAAACACCCAGTGGTACCTCTGCTGTTGCTGAGGATAACCTTGGCTTTCTCTATAGCATTTGCAGTGCTTCTGAGGACTGAGTCATTTTACTTCCTTTCAGATGATACCTACTATGGTCTTTGCTTTCAGTGGAATACCTACTGTGGTCATTGTTCACTCCAGGCATTGAGCAGGTATTTTTTCTTGAATTGACTTGTTGACTAGATCCTGATTTGTTCATTCAGTTGACTTCGTTGACAGCCTGTCACTGATCATGTCTTTATCTTGAGTGCCCACTGTACCTAGGACGATAACAGCATAGGTAGGGGAAAGCATAAGCAGAACCTGGCGCCTCATCCATGGCAGAGACAGGAAAGCCGATAATGTCAGCTCTATTTCTGAGGTAAGATGGCATATTATCTCATAACGTGTTCATGTCTGAACCACATGGCCGGGCATGTTGAGTTTTCAGTTGCATAGAGGGTCTGCATGGCAGAGATGTAGAGTCCTGAGCACCTTACATGGGAGATGGGTTTCAGTGATACAGGCCACTGGATCTTTCTCCTGAGGAAGGAAGCTTGGAGCTGACGTGATGCATGCACAGTGGACTGCCGTGGACAGAGACTGACAGTTAAGACCACCGGGGATATTTAAGCCAGGAATGGGGAGGCCCTGACCACTGCTGTCGAAAGAAAAGAAAAAGATAAATTTTAAAAAGTGAATTTAAAAAAAAATAATAATTCATTTTTATTTCATGTGCATTTGGCCTGAATGTATGTCTATGTGAGGATGTTGGATACCAGGTGACTGGAGTTACAGACAGTTTGAAGCAGCCATGTGGGGTGCTGGGAATTGAATCCAGGTCCTCTTCTGGCAGACAGTGCTCTTAACTGCTGAGTCATCTCTCCAGCCCCCCCCCCCCTTTAATGTTTATTTATTTTTACATATATGGGTGTTCTGTCTGCATTTAGAGTCTATGTGCAGAAAAGAGCATTGAATGCCATTGTAGATGGTTGTGAGCCATCATGTGGTTGCTGGGAATTGAACTCAGGACCTCTGGAAGACCAGCCAGTGCTCCTAGCCAATGAGCCATTTCTCTAGCCTCTTAAATGGATTTTTAAAGGTCTGGGGAATATAATTTGGTAACTGGCTTGCGCTTGGTGGAAAGTCCACTTACAGAATTGAAAATGACAGCTTTTCAGGTGATGCCACTGGGAAACCAGCATGCCAGTAATTAAGCTTTGAACCTAGCAAAGGGACCAGAGTTGAGTACTGGGTGAGGACATTAATGATGAGGTCAGTGATGTGTAATTTTATGGCCTTTACAAGATACATACTGGGTATATTCTTAGTTATTCTGGTCCAGCAGGTAGGAGTGGGAAGTTTGGAGGGAGACAGTAATCTTCAGCTCATGAGAAACCTTCGACATTTTTGTGGCAGCCCTTTCCCTGAAAAGTAGAGTGAGCAGCACCTGAGGGTTTGAGCCAACACATCTTGTAAAGATCAACTGTGGGGCTCTAGAAGCATTTGGGCCCCTGAAGGGTTTCATCAGGGCTGCACTGCACTAAAAGTCTCCAGTGCCATAGCTAAGGTTCAATAAGTTAACGACATTCTCCTGTTATTAATTAATCTTTAAAATGCCAGTGTTTATGTTTTTAAAGTACAGAAAATGAGACAGGACAGTGTAAACCATGACGATATTAATGAGCCAGATCCAGTCATTATTAATGTTATGTCAGTTGAGTTGCATCCTCTCACCTGAGCGTGGCAAGGAAAAGACAGAGTCTCCTTCACAGTATCACCAGACCCCTCAAATTGCAGTAACTCATAGGACAATCTGTGTTTGCTCAACTGTGTCATTATGTTACCAAAGCTAAGAGATGGCTTCCTTACCAGTGAAACCTCATCTCACCTAAATCGTTTGAGATCCTCGCTGTTCCTTTGGTGATCCTTTTTAGTTTCGTTCAGATTAGCTTTCTGAGGTCCATTTGGAAGGTAGGCAGTGTCCTGCGGAAGATGATAACGTGCTTTATATAGGAGGGATGCTTCTGCCTTGTGAGAAGTGAGCCTCAGTGGGAAGCCATGTTTGGTTTCTGTGTCTGCACTCATCTCCTGGGAATAACAATAGAGAGCTGTGATTCTTGCTCGAATTTAGCCACATTGAGTTATATATTCAAATGTACTACCATGGTTTTGCCTCCTCTGACCTACAAACTGTCCAGCTTCTTATTCTAGAGCAGAGGGCTCTCTGTGGTGTCCTTTTTGACCCTCATAGCCTTGGGTGGAGGAGTTACCAGCAGCTACTGGGAGGATCAGCTGGCACAGGGCAGCCTCTTGTGACAATGACTTAACCTGCCCCAGTTATCAGTAATATCAGTGCTGAGGATTAGCGTCTTCCTGCAGAGAATGACTCCCTCACTGTTGCTAAGTCAAGCACTTGCCTATTAGCATGTGGTCAAGATTGCTTGCTGGAGCTAACCAGGTCTTTGAAGTTACAGAACTTCATCCTTATTTTCATTTTCTTCGTATCTCAAATTCTAGAAGAAAGGAAACTGATTTGGTTCCCTTGACTTGTTTTTTTTTTTTCTTCTCCTCTCCTTCCTCTTCATCCGATTCCTTTCCTACCTTCTGTTCTTACTTTTGAAACAGGATGTGGTGGTTTGGATGAGAATGGCCCCGTAGGCTCATGGGTTTGAATGCCTGCTCAACAGCTGCTGAAACTGTCCCAGAAGGGTTAGGAGCTGTGTTCCTGGGGGTGGGCTTTGAGATTTCAAAAATGCCTGCTAGGTCTCAGATGAGGATGTAAAGCTCTCAGCTTCTAACGAGGTGCCATGCCTGTCTGTTTTCAGCTAACCCTCTAAGGCTGTAAGCAAGCCCCCAGTTAAATGCTTTTTTAAAATAAGAGTTGCCTTGGTCCTGGTGCTTTTTTAAAACACTAGAACAGTAACTATAACACAGGGTTTTCTCATGCAGCCCAGGTGGACATCAGAGCCATAACGTGCCCAGGACCATCTCTCAACTCTTGATCTTCCTTCCTCTGCTTCCCAAGTGCTGACAGAGATCACAAATGTGTGGCACCATGTCTGGCTCCGATTCCACTGTGTAGGGTTTTAAGCAGAGTACATGTTTTCAAGTTTATGTTCACTGATTTGAGAAATGTTCTTTATTTCAAAGGGAAAAGTACTTTAGCATTTTAAAACAGGCAGGTGCGTCCTGTTAAATCATGTAGGCTTACTTCTTTTGTGTGATTTAAAAATGATCAGTCATTCCCAATAAGAAAGAGACGTTTTACGTTTTCTAACTGTAGGAAGTACAGTTGGAGCATGCGAAGCAAGCCTTTGTCCAGCGAGATAGCGCCAAGACTGGAAAAGTCACAGCCATTGACTTCCGGGACATCATGGTCACCATCCGCCCACATGTCCTGACTCCTTTCGTGGAAGAATGTCTAGTAGCTGTAAGTTGTGAATTGCCCTAATGAAGTAGTTTATTCTCTTTATTTTGTGCTAAGTAAACTGGGATAGTTAAAGAACAGTTCTTATGAATTGTCTAGTTTTTTTTTTCCCCTCCTGTTTAAAACACTAATATTTTCTTAATCTGATCACCTATATGACCACCCTTGCAAACCAAAATATGTGTTGGTACATTTTAGTGGGTAGGTTAATTGATTGTCTATATTTTATGCTTTGAGGGTGAGTACAGTTGTGTCTCAGTGTCCCCGGAGGTCTGTACCAGGGTGCTTTCATATACTAAACTCTATAGATACTCAGATAATTTATACAAAATGACATCATCTTTGCATATAACTTACATGTATTTTCTTTGTACTTGAAATCATATCTAGATTACTTGTAACATCTAGCATAATCAAAGTATTTTTAAGTCTTTGCTGTGTTGTTCAGTGAATAATGTCAAAAAAAGACATCTGTATATATTCAGTGCAGATGTAATTTCTCCCCCTAAATCTTTGCAAAATTCTGTGCTTGGTTGCATCTGATATGTGGAACTCATGAATACCAAGGATCTATCTGTTCATACCAGATTAGAAAAAAGAAGAAAGTAAATAATTTGTCGTTTCATGATTATTTTGCCTTATAATTTAAGATATGTTGAATGCTGATTTTCATGTTTCTTCTTGAAGGAAAAAGAAACATGCATGCATACAGGCGCCCTTTCAAGCATGCGTGCTTTGATATCTTGTTGGAGTCACAGAAAAAGTCTAAAGCTTAGATTTCTCATTGACTCTTGGTGTTTGTTGGGGTTGCAATGTTGTTTGTGACAGGTAGAGCCCTGGTATTATATGTCATGATTGCCCCAACCCAGAGGATGTCCAGCTGATGTCCTCACTACCTGGAACTCTGAGAGGCCGTGCAGCATGCTGGATCGTGGTTCCAGGTCTTGGCCATGGACTTTCTAGATTACCAGGGAAGATCATTACAGATGATCTTCTCACCGCTGATGGTGGCTATATCACAGTATCTAAATGTTAAAGCTTCTAGCTGATTCTTACAGTTTGGGAACCACTTCTCTGGAAACTCTCCCTTGGCTAGACCATGAGTGTGCTCACAGCCGTCTGGGTTTCCCACAGTGCTGACCATGAGCCTGTCAAGTCTCTGTTTTGTTTTCCTGGTGCTTTGTTTCAAATACACGGCCTTTCCCATTATGGCATGATATTAATCTCACTCTTTTTGCACACACACCCCGCCTCCCCGCAACCCAGGTAAATGCAAATGTCAGCCGTTTTAAATGATTACTAAGTGAATATTTATGTGGCTATTTTAAAGAAGTGCTTTTCTAATAAAAATATTTTGCCTTGTTAGGGAAGGATAGAATTTGAAACCCCAAACGGAGGTTCCATTCACAGTGGACATATTGTCTGTTTCCCCTGTCCCCTAAGGAGAAAAACGCTTCCTTAAAAAAAATCAAATTATCAGAATTCTGATCAGCTTCAAGTTTTACCAAACACACTTACTCTTTACCTGTCCCACCAATATAAAGTCTCAGATGCAAGTGATTCTTTCCGGCTTAAGTGTCCTGACAAGTCTTGATATGAATTAAGGCTGCGTTATCCACTTCTCAGAGTATGCCTGCACTGATATGATTCAGTTTTGCATGTATGAACACATGATATAGTTTGTATTAAGTTTTAGGCCTTAACATTTGCTCATTAGATGAAATAAACCAACTTATAAAACATTTCCCACTGAAATTTGAACTGTGCAAATGACTACTGGTACTGTTAAAATCCTACACGTGTATTTATTTAGTTTTCCAGGGCTTGTGTATGGAAGTACAAGTCCTGGTTATGATTAGTTGCAGTTGTTTTAAAAATCACTTATAGCTTCTTTTCTCATGTGAAAGAAAAATACTTGTGGTAGTTTGTGTGTGTGTGTGTGTGTGTGTGTGTGTGTGTGTGTGTGTGTGTGT